TCGAGAGATATATAAAAAATGAATGAATGAAAGTCTCAATTGAATGGTTTTTATCATTGAATCGACTTCGGGATCGATTGATAATCAATATAATCGTTTGGTGTCCACACATCTGGTTTACTATCATTAATGACTAGACTTCAAAAACTTTAATTTGTTGACAAAATTACTGTTAAGTAAACCTCTTAGCAATTGATCGACTCTTACGARTTGATCTAATTAGCCCTTTATAGTAGGATTTAACGTAAAACTGTGTCCACTTCTTGTTCTTCTTCATATTCTTCGCCATCCTATTCTTTATTATAGTTAACCACTTATTGTTTGTCAACTTTATTGTCTTATTTATCGTCACTATTGGCGATATCGGCGTACGGTCTTTGATAGGCATTTTCAATGGACTTAAGACAATAACTGGTTGGGCTCTCGATATAAATTCTTCATCAATTAGTTTGACTGTTGAATCGGATGACAACAGAAAAAACAACAAATTAATTAAGAAAAAAATAATAATTATATCAATAGTATAATCAATGGTGAGTTGTGTTGACAAACATTTTTTGGATGAAGACTTGAACTTTCGGAGCTTTGGTTTCTCGTGGATCCGTTTGTGRTGCAAAAGCATATTATGTTTGCTTGTATACAATTTGTTGCAGTCATCGTAATTGCAAACAAATAACCCCTTAGACAAGTGAACCAATTTGTTGTGTTGGACCAAATTTTTTTTCAGTTTAAATGATTTGCTGCAATCATTGTAATTGCAAACAAATGGCCGATCAGACGAGTGAACCAATTTCTGGTGTGCGTCCAAAACCTCTATCTGTTTGAACGATTTGTCGCAGTTGTTATATTTGCAGACAAATGGCCGATAGTTGGAGTGTTTTGTGTTTTTGTGGCGAATTAGATGCCATTTAGTCCATCCATTGTACTGGCATTTGTCGCACGGAAACGATCGGATGCCATGATTTAGTCCCAAATGATTGAGTAGAGACTCATTGGCGACAAACTCTTTATCACATTTGTCACACTTGAATGGCTTCTTACAGTTSTTGTGATATCTGTTTATGTGTGTCYCGAGCCGTAACTCCGATCGGAAAAAGTGGTCGCATTGACCACATTTTAGACGATTTTTGCCATTAGTTTTAACTTTAGACAAATTTAGACGACTATTACTACTGTCGACAGTCTTTGATCTATTGGTCGGCATTTTTAGCGGACTTACGACTACAACGGGTTGTGTTTGCAATGCAAGTCTTTTCAGCTCTAATTCGTTAAACTTAAATGACTGGCAATTTTTCGGGTCATTTACGTGTATATCAAGTGTCTTAGTCGGCGATAAATAGTGGTCGCACTGATGACCACATTTGATGCAATCGGTTTGGGTTTCAATCAATTTTAGACGACTATTGCGTCGAGTATTTGATTCATTGATTTTTTTCGRYATTTTTAATGGACTTAACATTATTAAGGGTTGTGTTTGAGATAAAAGTTTTTTCAAATCAAAATCATTATCATATGAGGACACAGTTAGATCATTATCATCTGTTATTTGATAAAATTGATTACCACTGCTGTCCTCCAAATCAATATCGTTATCTAACGGCTCTTTCCCGTTGTTATCGGAAACATTGTCGAAGACTCTGTCATCGATTTGTCCGTTAAAATTGATAACAACTCTTATATCAGTTASGTTTTGCCTGGAAGTCGTCTTTGTTTTGTCACCGCCATTGTCKCCACCATCGGTGTTATCGGCGAGTTTGGTCAACGCCTGTCGCAACAGTACTTTCTGGCCAATGGATATCTGCGGCGGTAACTGATGCCAGTCTTTGTCCATATCGATGCCGCGTAATGTGTTCAACGAATCGATACCATTTCGGACGAGCAGATCAATTGTGTCGGCAGTTAGACCCGCAAATSCAGACAAATATCGGTGACAATCGGTAGTTGACATGACCTGACCAGTGATATATAGTTGGGTCAGTTGTACTAAAAAAAAWTTATGCTTAAAAAACTTAYTTAAAAAAAAATAAATACAAAAATACAAAAAATACAGTCCTTTCAATACATAGCGTTACTTGAAATTAATTATTTAAAATTTGAATCATTATTGATATAAAAGATTAAATTTATATATATATTAATATATGTGTAAAATTGTTGTCATGCAAGTGGTGTTTATAAGTTTTTTGTAAATATATCAATAAMTAAATTGAAGTAAATTTAAATTTAYATATAATTTTTATRGACAAACATCTTGTAACTCATAAGKRTACATTTTTCATTCATTCAATGCGCTTATTCATTAAAATGTATATATCTTAAAACTTTTAGTAGATTTTCAACAACAAAAAAAAAACAAACAAAAACAAGAATATATTCTTATTGTCAATAGTCATTGTTGTCAAATTAATTGTCAAAAAAAACCCATAACTTTTTTCATCACCCGATAATAAATAATAATTTTTTGAAAACTTATATAAATTTTAAATATATATATATATATATATATTAAATTTTAGTTTACTTTTTTATAGTTATTAAATAAAATAAATTTTTATTTTAATGGGATTCAGTAAACTATATATAACACGTAATACTTGCAAATTTTTTTTTGATTATATTATTTTTTGAAAAAATGTTGCATTAATTTGTCATAATTTTAATTATATATATTTTTAAAAAATTGTTATATATATACCATAAAAATTTTGGATAAATACTAATAGACGAGACGGGAAAATAATGCGTTATCCGATTTGTCCGATAACTTTTGCGGATCAACGACAACGAAGTTACACCAGAAGATCAATCTGTAAATTGATTTATTTATTATATTACAGTATATTAGCAATCAATTGGTTGGTTGACATTACTTGGATTGTATTATAAAATTTATAGATTAGTTACAATAATTATAATAAAATTAAATAATAATATTTAATAATAATAAAAAAATTYAATAATAATATTTAATAATAATATTTAATAATAATATTTAATAATAATATTTAATTAAAAAAAATAATATTYAATAATAATATTTAATAAAAAAAATTAATAATAAAATTATAAAAATAAATATAACAATCAATGAGATGTTTGTGCCATTATTTTCCGTGAATATTTTTCTGATGTCTACACAGAGTTTGAGGCCATTTGAATGATTTGTTGCAGTCATTGTAATTGCAGACAAATTGCCGATCAGTTGAATGATAACAAGTCTGGTGTCGAATAAAACTGTTTCGCTTTTTAAACGACTTATTGCAGCCAAAGTAAGAACAGACAAGTGATCCCTTAGTCGTGTCCACACAATTGTCGACACTGTTTGTGTTTAAATCGTTAATTTGTATTCTTTGCGGACTTATCTCAACAACGACTTGTGTCTTCAACTCTGGCTGACTATCACTTGATGTCACTTCTGGTGAATTATTAGTTTTTTAAATTAAAAAAATTTATTAGTTTTTTAAACAAAAAAATAACAATCTATGAGATTATAATAGATGTGATAAAAACTACTTACCACTGCTGTCAGGTTCTATTGAACTACTGATAGCCATCACTTGTCTGTCATCGTTATAGTCATCATCATCGGTGACATCGACGAGTTTAGCCAAAGCCTTCCTCAACAGTAACTTCTGACCAAATGATATCTGCGGCGGTAAGTGATTCCAGTCTATGTCCATATCGATGAGTCGCAATGTGTTCAACGAATCGACACCATTTTGAACGAGAATATCAAGTGTGTCGGCACTGATACCGACAAAACGAGACAAATATCGGTGACAATCGGTGGTTGACATGACCTGACCAGTGATATCGCGGTGTCAAACGTGTTAAAGTATAACTTCAAAAACAATTAAAATTTTTATTATAATATTAAAGAGTAATTTAAAGTTTTTAATTTGTTAACCGATTATTGATATTATATTTTCAATTGTTTTTTTTGTTAATAAATCAGAAATAATATCAAATTAAATATTCAAAAAATCACACAATTATTATTGGCATCAAAATTATTATATTAAATAATTGGTATTTAAAAAAAATACTATGACATGTATTAGAAAAAATGCACTAAAAAAATACAGTACTACCTGTTCAATACATACATACATTTGACTAAATAAATAAAAAAAATATATTTAAAACATTTCTAATACAGTATAAACTTGTAAATTTATATTGGKTSAATATAATTAATCAATGATTATTGGYTCCGGTTTAATTATTTTKTAACGGTAGTTATAAAAAAACTAAACCGTTTTTTGTCTATCATTTTATAAATTAATTGAAAACTATTTTAATTTATTAATTTTAATTTATTTATTAATAAACCCTCAATATTATTATCAAATCATTTATTCATAATTATTATATAATTTAATATGAAATACATTTTTTTAAATTATTAATTTACAAAATTTTAATGATATCATAGGCTTTTACAATGAACACCAAAAAATAAACTGATGAAACCATTGTTGTTATGACGGAACCGAGACTTCGTCCAGATTTATATGTGTTATGAATCTGAGTCTCATTTGTAAGTTTGGTCTTAACTTTCTGATAGTGGCCTCCACTTCATTCTTGACGGTATCGCCGGTAAACATATCTTTAATAATAAAAAATTGATTATAAGTTTTAATAGTTTAACACTAATATATTTCAATAGATTGTTCAATACATTTGATGTGATAAAGTAGATCACAAATTGGATCAATAAATCGTAATTTATCGCAATTTTTGTCAATAATTTCCAACATATCGTACAATTCGATGGTCACATCCATTACACAACGGGTTCGTTCAGCAAAGAAACGCTGAAGAAATGGTCCGACAATATGACAGATAAATATAAATTGTTCTTCAGTTTTGATAACTGGTTTGACTCTATCTTTGAGAAACTGTGGCATTAGTGAAATCTGGCCGACATTGGCGTTATGCCAGACGGCGTGTGTCAGTGCTATCAGATAACTGCATTGCATTTCGTTCATCTCCTGATGACTGTTCTGGAAGTCCATCAAATCAAATGGTGAATCGTTTGCTTCCATCAATAGCGGACTTTCCATCATTTCGAGTATACGATCGTTGAGTACCGATAGATAGGACTCGGACAGTGCCGTCAATATGACTCCAATAGCATTCATCCACATTTCGATGTTATTTCGAGTAAGTATTTTGTGGCCAATGAGTACAACATCGAGCAACGAGTTGGCCACTACTGCCGGACTCACTGGCAGTGCCATCAGTTCAACACATGTAACGTGCAATGCATGGGCCGATGCATTGGGAAACTCATTGAACCGATAGTCGGTGTGCGGGAATGAATTTTTCTGGCCCGATATTGTCTCCACTACTCGTCCGATTAGTTGAATGTAGTAATCGAGACCTAAATAATTTTCATTATAATAWAATTAGTATTATAAATAATTTACCGGTAATATAAAAAAAACTGTTTGTTGACTAAACACCTGGATTCCAGTCGACATCATCTCTTTGCATGTAATTCAGATACGCCTCACTTAGCGCCCAATTTTTAGGCCTAATATCTTTGAATGATGTAATAACAGCCGAAACTAATTTACGCTTAAATAGCGGTTTGTCTTTAAGTTTGGTCTCATAATAGTGAAGTGTATTATAGAGATAAGTAATAGGTTTATCGTGAAACTTGTATAGACAGCCCAATTGATCCAACAATTGGTCGACAATGTTGGACATTGAACCCGACGGTAACTCCAGAAATCGGTGGATAACAATGTCTTAATTGGAAAATAAAACAGTTTTTAATACTTAAAAAAATGCTATAAATTATTTTAAAAATTATTAATATTTACCGAAAACTGGTAAAAATCTAAGACAAACGTTACTGAAATAAAACGGCAAATATTGGTGTTGACTGTTCTGTGAGTTAACCTCTTGAAGACATTCAAAGTAAAACTTTTCGGGATATTTCTGAAACAAATATTATAATTAAATATTAGATTAAATGACATATAAAATCAAATCAATGAATACCCTATTGAACGCCATGTGCTTCTCGTGCCAATTGGATTGTTTCCAGTGCTCGGGACTGTTTTCTTTGACAAACTCATAGACCCTATTCTTGAACTCTTGTGGTCTCAACAGAAGCATATGTATGATGAAGAAGCAAACCTGTGCTTCGTTGCCCTCAAAACTTCTCAGTGCCAGACATAGGATCAGCCGATCAATGGTAATAACATAGTATTTCCAGATAAGATCATTGAGTGCATCAATAAATTTGTTGACATGTTGTCCACCAACAAGATTAGCAAATTCGTAGACAAGAAAATCGGCAAATGTACGCATATGTGTTGAGAGTGCTCGGGCACCGATACGGTCCAAGATTTTATAGACAATCGGATTGATTCGATCGCTTTCCAATAACATCTTCCACAACAAACAGAGAAACAGTGGAGGAGTTCCCGGCAATGAAAAGTGTTTGAGTTGAGCGGAACCGTCGTTTTCGTTGCTCATGGATTTCCATTTACGATACTCTTCCTCAACTGATATCCGTAGTTGAGCTTTGTTTTCCTTTTGGACGGGAACCTGTTGGTAAAATTCGCTGATGGCATTGGGAAAGCATAACARCGTAAACGATGACCAATTGATGGATGTGCTCTGATTGATGTTTGTCAAGATCTCTTTGAGCCATTGGGCGGCCAGTGTTTCGGAACCGGTTACGTGAATAGCTCGGGCCAGTGTCAGTACAAGAACTTTGTTCAGCTCTTCCGATTCGGTGGATAACAGTGACTTCGGTTCGTTCTGGAAGCGCGAGTACTGGGGTATGGATAGAACTTCAGTACTGCTCAACCCTTGGATCAGTTTCAGTGCCGTATTTTCCATACACAGATGCAGCTGGACATGGTTGGTTTGGGGAACGTTAGATAGACTGTGCAAATTCCCTAACAATTGGATCCGATAGTGTGCATTGATGTGATGCAACCGATAGATATACATTTCGAGCAGTGTATGAAATATACCCCACGCCTGACTGCGCCAAACAGTGTTCAATAGATCTGCTATTTATTTTTTGATAAAAAATAAATGATGACAAAAATTATAGTTTTTTTTAAACAAAAAAAATATAATCAATAAATCAAAATAATAATAATTTAATTTAATTACTCATAAATCCTTTGATACCAAGAGATTCAATTTCCGTATAAATTAATAGACGACTATAGGTCTCGACCAAAGCGGGTGCCAAACTAATGCTTGATTTTGTCTTAAATATTATAAAAAATATATTAATTTACGATATAAAAAATATATTATCTAGTACATACCTGAGCCAATTTCATGATTTGATTGGCAATACTATGTATTAAACTAAAAAAAAATAATTTAAAAATTAAAATCATAAAAATAATTTTATTGAATTTACGGTAAAACAAAATTTAATTGTTTACCTCATTTTTGTATGCAATGTCAGCGAATCTAATATAGATATCGATAGCGGAGTTGTAGGCAGTGATGATACCATAGGACTGGAACCGGGAGCCATGGATCGGTTACTACCGCCCTGAACGCCATCGACTAAGACAGATAGTGGTCGAGCAAACAGTTCCTGATTTGTACTGTCTGTTTGAATTGAAGAAAAAATAAATAAAATAGTTTATCCATTAATACACCGCAAAAAATTACGGTAACAAAAAAAATCATACAAGCATTGCACAGAAGAGCCACCCGATAATCTGATCCACTAATCAATAGATTGCTGTTATTCATCAGGTTTTCCTGTAAGAAGTCGATGTGTGCTTTAAGTGCCAACGGTATCGGTCGCTGAAGACTAACAGCATCGGTCTCGGCTTTCTTCATCAGATGTATCCAAATAGATGAGGCAGACATCGAGTGTGTGGCACTCGATTTGGACACATCGGGTACGGGTAGAGCTTCCCGTTCGTGATATAGAAGATCATAGAGTTTCATAATTGGCAGAAAATCTTGCAATGGGTTCTTCTTGATTGAACCCGATATGAACTGAAGTAAAATCCACATCAGATGTTCGCGACTTTTTCGCGGAAAATTTTGTGGATTTTTGGCGCTTAGTTTGTCGTGAAGTCTGAGGACAATGTGCGGGAAGGAAGCGAATTGRAATAATACAAAATAGATGAGATGACTGGACAAATGTTGCCATAAAAAGAACAATGGATTGCATCCTTGTTCGCCATTCTCATCGGTAACCTCGAGATCGGCAGCACCGCCGACGCCGCCGGTGCCGCAACTTTCCGATCGTTCCATTGCTATGATAATCAATTCGACTAATTGTTCTTCGAGTAGAATGTTTCGTTGTTTTTGTTTCGAATTCAACGCCAACATCGATGTTATCATATCGCGCGAAGACGGCTGTTCCAAGACGTAGCGCAAGAGTCCGATTTGCGGTTCCAGTAGATCCTTGTTGTAGGGCAACAGTCCGCGCATTTGAAACTTAGCAGTCACTGGATCCAGTTTCCAGATGTTGTTCAACGATGATGAATGTCCAACAATTGGCAACAGTTTCGAGCGACCGGCGGTTGAGACCATTTGGGCTAAAATTTWWWTTAAAAATACAATTAAATTACAGTTTTTTGTTATATTTTTTTGGTATTTACCCGTCGGTCGGAAACTGTCGATAAAAGATGTGATAAGTTTCGCAAATTTCTTAAAAAAAAATTATTTGTTTTTTATTTAATAAATAAGATTATCTAAAGACATACCCAATGAGTACATTTGCCTTTCTTCTGGATCTCRTCTAAGATCAGATACGCTGGAAGCAGACAGTGATTCCTATTGAATATGTAGTCAAAGACCTATTGGATGTGTTGTTGAATAATAATAATAAAAAWTTAATTATCTAAACAACTGATCAAATAGTGGTTTGGGATCACTAACGCTGTATAACGATATGAGTTGTTTGAGAACCGATACATTAGTTTTGGCCGGTATTTGGTTGACTCTGTCGAATAGGATCTTCAGTAGATCGCGAACGCCTTTGTAGTCGACACTACCGATAACTTTGCGGATCAACGACAACGAGTTACACCAGAAGACTTCGTTTTTGTAGTGAAACTTTTCCGACGACAATATCGTCTCGCAAACCAATCTGTAAATTGATTTATATATCATATATATATATACAGTATATTAGCAATCAATAGGGTTAGTGCCAGTGGTGTGGTTGACATTTACTTGGCTGGGATCAGATTGTTGGTGACGGCAAACTCGAGCATCTGAAGCAATGTTTCGTTTTGTTTGTGGGACACAATATTGCCGCAAATGTCGATGTATTGCCTGAGACCGACCTCCAACTTGTCGGTTGCGGTCAGCTGTTGGACGAGCGATCGCATCGATTCTTCGTATGTCTTTATCGTGTGTACTTCGGATTCATCCCATTGTAAGACAAAACCGGCAAACGATTCCTCCAGAGTTTCGCTTTGCTGTTTRWTTAAAAACAAAAAAAAAAAGACATTCAAGACATCACTGTYGATATAGAAATATAGTCAAACACAAGACTTACAATTATCAGATCCAGACATTGGTTGACAATGGCTTCGGTGGTCGCCATCGTTGGTCACAAATACAGTTAGTCGTCGTTCACTGACTTTGTTTGTGTGTGTATTGTATTGATTGTCAGTTTGTTATGTTTGCAAATAAATACATACATAACGTACTGTTTATGAATACATATTATTGAAAACATTGCATAACTTGTAATCACATTTTATTCAATATATTTGTTKATAAAAAATTGTTTATTTAATTTTGATTTAGTTTTTATTTATTGAACTATTGTTTTRTTATTTTATTTTTTTTAAATACAAAAGTATTAGTAATTTAATTGAAAATTAGTTAAACTAAATAAAACAAAACAAAAAAAAAAGTTAAATGTTTTGTTGTCTTAAAACTGTCAGATGTTTTAAAAATGACAAAATCGGGTAAAATTTTTTTTTAAAAAATATAACAAAAATATTTTTCCTCAAAAAAATCCCATTAATTATCCGATATTCTTATGGTTTTAACAGTTTGTGGCGATTGGCCGCCAATAGATCCGGCAATCAATGGCCAATCACTGGACTCAGACAACACATCCAACATAATACTTACTTTAGCAGCCGATTATTAGCCAAACAAATTTCATTGACCGCAGCCAAAAAGTGGTCGCTAGTGGTCATCGGCGGTGCTATTGTCAATGTATCGTATTTTGTTTATCACAAGACACGTGTCAAATGTGATCTCAGTAGTAGTGATGACCAAATCGATGATAGTTTAAATCAAGTAAAACAAGAGTTGCAAATAGCGTTGAAATGCAATGAAACCCAAAGTTTTGATTTCAAACGCATTTGGCATTACTTAAGACCGGAATCATTGTACCTAATGGTGGCCATAGCTGTGAGGATGGCATTGCTTACCATTTTGTTGTTGTTGTCTAATATTACCACTTGTTTGACACAAATTTTTTCCCTCTTATATATATCCTATAGAGTGCCCTAATTGTAGCCTTTCTGAACATTGAGATTCCGCTGTCCATCGGATCCGTAATGAATGTATTGTCAAGATTTGCTACCGAAGAGAATTCAAAATTCTGGTCGAATCGGTTCTTCACTGAAATCAGTGGTCCGGCATTTAAAGTGTTTGAACTCTATATACTACAAGTAAATTGATGTCGAAGAATATATATATTTATGATTATAATATGAACCAATTTCTGTGATTAACTGTCTGTTTCTAATCCATTTCTATGGCTGACACAGAGTGTGTTCACCTTTGCCTACATTTATTCGCTGGCAATTGTCGGCGAAAAGACTTCATCGCGTATAAGAAGTGATCTGTTTTCCTCTATCATCCGTCTCGACACTGATTTCTTTGACAGACGAAAATCGGCCGAAATTATCAGTCGTCTGACAAGTGATGTCCAAGAATTCAAAAGTTCGTTCAAACTCTGCATTTCTCAGGGTTTAAGAAGTTTTACTCAGGTTTTTTAGCTAATAATATCTTTGACCGGATCTATTGAGTTGGGCTATAAAAGTGATTATTTTTGTTGTTGTTATTGGTTTCAGATAATTGGTTGTTCAATATCTTTGTTTGTGATATCACCAAAAATGACACTCTGGATGGCCACAATAGTGCCATCAATGGTATTATTCGGTGCATTATTGGGTTCATTACTCAGACAGATATCTAGAGAAGCTCAGGCACAGGTATATTGTACTGTAGATATCATTTTAGTTTCATTTGATGACATGACTTACTTGACACCCCATTATAGACGGCCAAAGCTGCGGGAATTGCCGGCGAAGCCATCAGTAATGTTCGTACAGTCAAAGCTTTGGCTATGGAGGACAGTCAGTGCCGGTTAGTTAGTTAGTTGATAATCACTTTTAAGGTTTTATAATATCAGAAATGAATAACTATTTACCAATTCCTTCAGTGTATACGACAAAGAGTTGGCCAAAGCCGAGGAAATGAATATTAGACTCGGCTTAGGGATCGGCGTTCTCCAGTCGGGCACCAATTTGGCTCTGAACTCAATAGTGTTGGCCACACTTCTCTATGGCGGAAAACTGTTGTCCAGCGATGAGATAACAGCAGGGAATTTAATGTCATTTTTAGTGGCCACTCAAACCATTCAGCGATCGCTGTCACAGCTGTCGCTAATGTTTGGTCACTATATTCGCGGTGTTTCGGCAGCCACTCGAGTATTTGAGTTTATTGACATTAGACCGACGGTTGTCTTAAATCAGGGAATCACACTTCAGAATGTTGTCGGTGACGTCCACTTCAATAATATCTCATTTAGTTATCCGACTCGCGGTGAACAACAAGTGCTCAATGGTTTTAATTTGAAATTAACTCCGTCGACGGTTACCGCCATATGCGGACTGTCGGGTGAGGGAAAGTCAACGGTAGCATCACTTATGGAAAGATTTTATGACATCGAATCCGGTCTTATCACTATCGATGGCGTTGATATCAAATCACTGGATCCGCTATGGCTGCGGCAAACGGTAATCGGTTTTATCAATCAGGAGCCGATACTGTTCGGCACGACTATCATGGAGAACATCCGATTCGGCAAACCGGACGCCACCGATGAGGAGGTGCTGGTTGCGGCCAAATTGGCAAATGCACACACATTTATTGAACAGTTTCCCGACGGCTATCAAACGCTTGTTGGCGAACGGGGAGCAACCGTATCGGGCGGTCAGAAACAGAGGATAGCCATCGCCAGAGCACTGGTCAAAAATCCGAAAATACTGGTCTTAGACGAGGCTACCAGTGCTTTGGATGCCGAATCCGAAGCCCTGGTTCAGGAGGCTCTTGAAAAAGTCATGCAAAACAGGACCGGTATTATTGATCGATTGATTAATTATTTAATTTTAAATCTAACTAAACTTTTTTCTCTCATTAAAATACCAGTGCTTGTGATCGCCCACCGGTTAAGTACAATACAAAATGCCGATACCATTGCTGTACTATCACAGGGAAAGGTAGTCGAAATGGGAAGTCATACACAACTGAGCAATAAAAGAGGTTTATATTGGAATCTCATTAGACAACAATTGGATACAAATAATAACAATTAGACAATTTAACAAAAATAACCAAAAAAAAAAACATTAGTGACAATTAAAAACAAATTAATTATAGTTAACTTAATTATTTAATTATTATTTTTTTTATTATTATAAAAAAAGCTTTACCGGTAATTTTATAACAAAAGTTTTTTTTAGTTGATATAAATCAAATAAATTTTTTAATAAATAAACAATTTATATATTTAATAATAATATTAATTATACGAACTATGATTACAATAATTAAAAAATGCATTACAAATGAATATAATATTAACCACAAAAAAAACATTAAATCATTGATTAAATATCGAATTTATTTAATAACTAGATTTTACTGTATTGTAGGCAAAAAATTATTTATTATTTGCTCTTTGCGTCCAACACTTCCTCATCACTACTACTGGCGCTATCGTCTTCATCGACACGGCGTTCAGTATTATTTCTAGTCGTCGTGCTGTACGAACTGGTGGCCAGTGGTCTGCCGGCCGGCGACGGGAACTTTGGTTCGCGATTTTCCTTAACGTGAATAGCTTTGACCAGTCGGTTAAGTGTTGACCGATTCAAGTGTTGGAGAGTTACTAACTGTTCCGGTTGTTTCGATTTCGGATCAATTCTGGTGGTATTATTGTTGATAACCTGATTGAATACAACGTCTTCGGCTTCGGTAATCTGATCGGTACCGATATAGGCATCGATTAGTGCCGAATAGACAACGCCAATAGTTTTCTGTGTCAGATTCGATGTCGACACCATTTCGATTAGCTGTTTGGCCAATTCGGTATTATTGTTTTCGCGAATAGTGTCCAACAGTGATGAAAATAGTAGAAAATCTTTGAATTTAGGACACGAATCGTATATACGTTTGGCGTCATCATAGCGACCACTTTTCATACAATTAATCCAAACCATATTCATTGGCAAATGATAGTCCATCTCACGTATCAATGCATTAGCTATGGTTATGAGCTTTTCTTCGACATCGGGTCGCACTTCCAGTGCCCGTAGATATCCTCCCAACGGAAACGGTTTCAATTGGAGAAACTTTCCGTTAATCAATTCGTCAATTTTACCGCTATTTATGTAGGCAATGGCCACTGAATTGGTAAACGAGTTGTGTTGCAAAATAAATTCGGGTAAAATCGGTTCCAATTGTTCCAGTTTCTGATAATCGCCGGCTGACGACAATTTTGAAAACAAAAATCGTATGATTCGTGGCATTGGAAACAGTTTCGATGATAATAGCGATTCCGATAGACTGAATGCTTCGTCCAGTCGGTCGGCGTTCAGAAACGACTCGATTAGCGAACAATTTTGTGACATCAATAGCGACTTGCCTTCGGCTTCCAATTCGCTTTTGATGGTCAAAGCCGTGTCAATGTCTCCCTCTTGAAGAGCTATATTAAACTTTTTCTGCGAATTGTTCAATACTTCTGTTTGTTGTTGTTGTTGTTTGCCGTAATCGAAACGAGATCTAATAGGATCGTCGGTCAACTGGATTTTGGCCGGTATTTCAAACGGAACAGTTAGGCCGCTGTCCTTCAAATAGTTACCCAACACTAGCAGTGTTTTATCCGACGGCCTGATCGCCTCTTCCTGAATCAGTGTCCAACAGTCGAGAGCTTTGTCCGGTTTTTGTTGATTGATATAACCGTTGATAAGATGATAGACCATTCGGTCGCGATTGGCGTCGAAAACATTACGAAAACACCGAATGGTTTCTTCAAGAATCGCAAGTTTTTCTTCGCGAACTAAACGCTCGCAAATAGTGTCGATTTTGGCAATTTTGATGCTAAGTCCCGGTGTGTCCAACAAACGTTTCGCTTGTTTAGATTTTCCCAATTCGACACATATTACGGCCAAATCGGATATTGTATTCATTTCTCCGTGAATTTTATCGGAAACATCGATCACTTTCTGTAGGTTTGATTGGTCGCCGTTTTCAAGAAAATGCATAATCAGTTGACTCTTCCACGGAGTGATCCGATACTCATCGGCCAAACGTAAGAATTCGTTCAATGCCTCGGAATAGTTGTCTTTAAGTATATAGTGTTTGACAAGAGGTCCGGCCATTACGGCCGTCGGTTTTACCGCTAAATTATTTACGTATAGTTCAAACACTTCTCGTACGTGTCTGATGTCTACATTGGCCTCCAGTAGACTATTCAACAACTGGTAGACAGACTTGTCTTTGCTTCTGTCTTTTGTTAGCAAAAGTTTAGTAATCGTGTCGTTTTCGGCGACAGCGGCCGTATCGGTACGGACTAAACTGATGGCCCGCAGAGCCCGKCGAAGACTTTGTTCCAATTGGCTTAGTTTCTTGTCTAAGCCGTCGGACACTTGAACTCTGGCCGTATTTGACGACAGCAAAGACGCCGACTCACTGTCGTTGAGGCCATTGATGATCGCCGCCGCCGACGATGAGTTCCGGCCAATGGGTGTCGTTTGAAGCGCTGATCGGAAACAATGGGCAATCACTCGGGCAGTGATCGTACGCCCCGATGTGGTCATTGATAGCATGATCATTGTTATTGTTATTATTATTATTATTATTATTATTATTTGGACACAATTACCGCAATGCCGTCGGTAAACAAAAAAACCATTCAATGATCACAACATGTGCTTCACATACACACAACACTAACGCTACGTTCATAGACAACGTTACGCTAATTACAAAAAATAATTGATTGTTTATTTAAACTTTAAAAATATCATTTTCAATACAATCAGTGTATTATAWTGTATATAAAACAATATAAATCATATTTTATATCAAATMAATGATTATTATTATTTTTGTTGCTATAATTAATTTTATTTTAATTCAAATAATTAATTTTGTTTTTATCATTTAAATAGTGTTATTTTTTAATTATAGCAATATTTTTTTTTAAAAAAAAAGTTCATTATAACTATGTTATATTGTATTATTATTATAATGTAAATAAAATTTTATTTATAAAATTTATTACATTGTATATATAACGTTAGATAATTTATTTTTGATTGGGGGGAGGGGAGGGGATAGAATATTTAATAAATAAATTATAATAATTTTTAGCATGCTAGAAAATAATTTTTAAAAAAATTATGTAATAAAAAATTAATAAAAATATAGCAAAAAAATATATTTATGAAACTGTTTGCTAGTTTTAAATTTTTATAAAATCTAGAATAGATTACCCAAAATAAAAATATTTATTTAAAAAAAAATTAAAATATTGTTAAAAATATAAATTTTCTAWTTTTTTTGTTTTGTTTATCTTATATTGACTTATTATTTACTAAACAATTAACTAAATGATAAAACCTAATATTTATTATTATTTACATTTWWTAAAAAAAAATATTTACTTTATGTTTATTATAATTTATTTATTTATTTAATAATTGACATCACATTCACATCTATTACTTTATATAGACATAGCGTATGAAAAAATGAAATATTATTTATAACTATATTTTATATGAAATATTATTTTTATAATGTTGTAGTTATTATTTTTTTAACGAGAAAATCAATTATTAATTTATATTAATTAATAAATATACAGTAAATTGTATTAAAATCATTGGCAATAATTTAGTAGATTATTTATTATGAAAACAATTTTATTGCAAAATATATATTTTTTAATAATACTAATGGTTTTTTAAAAAATAATTAAATTAATATAATTGTTATTATTATTACTATTATTATAAGATAAACTATTTTCTTATAATTAAAAAAATATTTATTTCACTTTTTTATAACTTTATATTTATAGTAAAACTAAAGTTTTATATGTTTATCTAAAAATATTATTAGAAACTTATTCATTGAAATACTAATATGATATATATATATATATTTTTTTATTGATTAATCAATGATTAATGTTAGGTTTTTAAAAAAAATATTTTTCAAAAACTAATAATTTAAATGTTATTAATATTAATAACCAAATATACGTTAAWATACTAAAGTATATATATAATTTATATAAATATTTTTTTTAAATATTAATCTATCGCTTAACTATATTATGACAGGAAATATGTATTAATAAAAGTTAATTAACATTTTAAAAAATTAAACGGGTTTATGTCAAATTAAATGCAATGTAAATTTATCAATTATTGCTTATAKACATTTAAAATTATTATTAATTATGTTAATTTTTATAATTAATGCACACTTTAAATWAAAAAAAAATAATATAAATTTATATATATATAACGTTATATATATTAATTATATAATTTATTTAGCACTGACTTTGAGACTTATTAGACTTATAGACTAGTTTTTTATTGAACAAATCAATTAATAATATATATAAATAAATATATATATATATATATTAATTTTAAAATTAATAATTATAGCAAAAAAAGTTAATTGAAAGAAAAACACATTAATTTATGGGCGGATAATGTAAAATATTATTTAAGCAATAATGAAAACAATATACTGTATTAACTATAATATAAACAGTAATAGTTATGAAATTGYTATAATTGTTTATAAACTTAATTTWTAATTGGTTTTTTTGGAGAAAAAATAACATTGATTGACATAATCATTATAGATATTAGTTGAGAGTGAGTGAGTAAGTGAAAGAGAGAGAGAGAGAGAGAGAGAGAGAGAGAGAGAGAGAGAGAGATTTGCGTTAAAAATGACATTAAATAGTAGTTTTATAAAAGTTTTTTTACATTTAAAAAAAGTGATTTTCATAATATTATTATTGAAGGCAAGTCTTGTGTTTATTATTATTATTGGAGAGTTATATTAATACTAATATATTGAATGTATGACTGACTGACTGAGCCCTGAGCTGAGCTAATCCAGTCATGCGAAGAGCAAGTGTTTTATAATAGTTAGGAGAAAGAAAGCGGAGAAACGACTAGTAATTCAAACATACAGTCTCTCTCTCTTTCTCTCTCTCTCTCTCTCTCTCTCTCTCTCTCCTTCTTTGACTACCAGTGCGCCAATACAACTACCACAACAACAGACTGTCAGCACCGGAGAGCACAGTCAGCTTTGAGTTCAGCTACCAAACGGTCGACACTAGAATCGTCTTTCTCTTTATTTTATTGTCCCCTTAAAAAAAAGTATAACCAATACACACACACACAAGTAGTTGTTTGGTTACCCAAAACCTCCCCAACCACTGACTCAAACCACTAGTTGTTTATATTTCATATATAATATAATATTATATATGATTTGAAAAAGAGATTCTTTAGTATTAATATATATCTAAAGTTAAGAAAAATACATCAAATTAATTGGTGTTTAAATATATATATAATTCTGAATATTTGTGTGTTTGAAATATATATATAAAAATTTCAATTTAATAATAATATTATTATTCAAACATTATGTGATTAAATATATTCATTTAGTAAATTACTAATTKAACAAAAAATTGAAAAAGTGATTGCTAAAATTTCAATTTCCACTAAATATATATTTGTTARATAAATATATATTTTTTTTGAGTTTTATATCATATAAAATTGTGTTCACCAAAAAAAAATACAATGGGATGTATAGCAGGACTKGTTAAACATTTGGTATGTTTGTTGGCATTCCTCACATGGGTATGTATTTTTTTTAAATTAAACAATTACTGGTATTAATTAGTAAGTTACTCAAAATATATTTATTATAAATTGATTAGAAAAACATGTGATTTAAAAAAATTATCGATGTTTTCTCTCTCTCTCGCAAAAAAATTGCCCAAAAAAATAATAATAAAATTTTGGCGATACGTTCACCTCAAAAGTCATATATAATTAACGTTAGTTTTATGCACTAATTCCTATCATATATATGTATAATATTGTATATATATATTATGAAATACTAGCAAATAATTTACAATATATATATAATGTATTGTTATTAACAAAATGTGTGTCTCTTTTATATACMGTATATAYYGTATGCTTGGATATGACAATAGAGTATTAGTTGTTACACTAATAATGCTTATGTTTTTGTTGATTGATATTCATCTATAGTATTATAATACAAATTGTTTTAATTAATGGTTAGTTAGTGTTTAACATATTATATATTATAACTATGTGTTCAGYTTAACTGTCCTCTAATATACTGTATATGATATATGAGCTGTGAATCTCAAATGACAAAATACAAGTAAATATATTGTATAGTATATAATGTATATGAATATACAAAATAAAAACTTATTGAATAACAAATAGCATATTATATATACAGTAATACTGTATAAACTTTGCAAAAAACAGAAAACTTATTATTCAATTTAATTCAATTAGTATTTAAAAAAAATTATTAATAATAAATATTATACAAATTGAATATTTTTTTGTTTGTTTAAATGYCTATTACTTGTTAGTCAGTAGCAAAAAAATATTAAAAAAATAAAATTTCATTTTATTTCTGCAATAAAATTGTTGGAAAAATTGTTGGAATTTTTTTCAGTAATAATAATTTTATAGATAATATTTCAATTTGTTTGCTGAAAATTTAATGGTTTAGTAGAGTTGACAAAAATTTGTTTTTTATATACATTTKTWTWTATATATATATTATATACATTTTTTTGTTGAATTTTTAAATATTTAGTCAATATTTTTTTAGATTAAATACTTTTCTAAATCAATTACTGGAGAGAAATAGTTGAAAAATGTTTTATATATACTGTAATTTGAATTTTATATTTTATATAAACAAAACAACAAAAATGTTTTATACATTTCCTTTTTGAAAACTACTGTTTAAAACAAAGTTAAGGTTAACTATTTAGTACTGTATTACCGGTAATGAAAATTTTGTCTCAAATTTATAAAAATGTCATTATATATAAAAATAAAATATATATATTTAATACTGTATTTACACATTGTATTAGTATATAGTATATAATATATAAACGGTATATTAAACACTATAGTTACTAATGTATATATAAAAAATTTAATAGCAAACTAAACTATCTATATTTAGCAGCAAATTAATAACTCTAATGGTATTTAATTAATGATTTACTTATTTTTATATTTTCTAATATTAATTTATCAAATTAATCAAAATCATATTACTGATATGATATTATAGTTATCAGATATAAAATATTATTTATAAAATTAAAATTATTAATAATAAATTGATATTTATATCATAAGAAAAAGCAAATACAGACTTAAAAAAAAACATTTTTCACAAAAATAAAATCTTAAAAACTTTTATAAAGTTATTGTATTTTGATTTTTTTATTGTTTTCATTTAAATTTTTCTATTGGTATTTCAAACCAACAAACTTTTATATACAAAAACAAAACAAATGAAACAAAAGTATAGACCAAAAAAAATTTTTTTTTGCAACAATTGTTTGTTTCAAAAAACATAATAAATTGTTTGTATTATTGGTTTTTTGCGTTTCTGTGAATCAAATCTTTCACAAWATATATATTTTTTTCACTTCAAAACAATACATAACTTCCGATTTCACATAAAAATTTTCAGACATATATTGGAGAGTATAGACAGACGACTGGGTAGTTATAGACCACCACCACTACAGTACATAACCACTACTATACGACAATAACCCCCGAAAAATAAATAAATAAAATCCGACAAAAATAATAGTCATAACACACTTGTGTATAATCAATAATATATTGTAATCTATAAACTAATATATAATATATTGTATATAATTTATATATATATATATATTTACTTATTGTTCAGCATTTATTAAATTCAATGAGGAAATGGCAATGAATTGATTGCCAGTGCAGTGTTTGAAAATATACAGTTAAAATAATTTTCACTTAATAAGTATATAATTTTATCCATCAATTTATTTACTGTATTATCAATTCATATATAAAATATATGGCCATTTGGTTATTGTTAATCATTGATAATTTTTCTATCTCTCTCTCTCTCTCTCTCTCTCTCTCTCTCTCTCTCTCTCTCTCTCTCTCTTTCTAATACAGTACTATTACTAATAATATTTATTATAATTATCGATAAGATTAGATTTTTTTCTATTCATTTACTATTACTATTAATAATAATAATAATAATTTTTATTCATATAATATAATGACTTTTTACTGTAATGTATTATTAAGTGCAATAAATTTTTAACAAATTATTTTATTTCTCTCTCTCTCTCTCTCTCCAAAATAAAATACATACAAGTATTGAATTTTATTGAATTTTATTTATTTTAATTTATTATTATTTTTTTCGGAGTAAAGCACTTATAGGTTATTTAATAAAAATGTTTTTAATAATATTTTTTATATCTAAATATAGTCCACGAAAAGAGTACATCCAAATAAAAAAATATATTTAAAAAAAAGTCATGAAAATTATTATAAATGTTTAAATCATATAATGTTTATACGTGTGTGTGTGTTGGATATAAACAGTATTATATTGCTATAAAAATTATGACTGATATTTGACCCAATTATCTAATTCAGGGAACCGTTACGGTGACAAACAATTCACATTTGGTGTAAAAGAGATATACTTTATTGTTATAATAGCAATATGTGTTTGTATATAACAACCTGTATGACACATACAGGTATATTACCTAAAATATAAATATACAAACAATATATATATATATATATATATATAATATAACTCTTTATGATTATAATTTATAAACTTTTTCGTTTTTTTTGTTGTTGAAAGTTAATGATGAAACACACACACACACACACACACACACACACACACACTATACAAATGTTAACATAATTTAGTATAAAATTAATGAGATAAAAGCCTTTTTGAAAAAATTTATTTATTATTATTATTATTATTTATTTGGATATTTTTGGTTAATCAGCTCACAGGCAGTATAATAATTGCGTACACGTTGTGGGCTTTGGGCACATCATCTAACATGAAAAGGCTGTTTACCGGCACTTTAGTAAGTGTTTTATTTTATTAAATTATTAGATAATATTAAAAACATATATTACATACAAGACATACATACAAACATTTTTTTTGTTGTTGAATTGTTTAACCTATTAATTAATTATTTTTTTATTGAAAGAGGAGCTGAGATACTATAGCTCAGAGACACAAATATTTCACACAAATTAAAAAAGCCTTATCTCTCTCTCTCTTTTAAATAGCCATTGACATATGTTGGACTCGGCTTAGGGAGCTTACTGTTTATCAATGGTATTTATTATGATAATTGTTTAATATTATTTTAATTTATTTTATTTGTGATATACCGGTATCTCATTAAATACTTGTATTATTGACATTTATATTTTGATAAATATGCCAATTATTTGTGTGTGTGTGTGTGTGTGCTTAATGGTATTAACAATAATAATATCCTATTTGATAGGCCTGTTAGGGTGGATGGGCTCATACAAGCGAGGAGGATGTATGCTTAAAATGGTATTATTATTATTATAAATACAATTTTTTAATTTATGTAAATTTTTTTACTTAATAATAAATGAACTCTTTTATACATTTACTAAATACTATATATGATTATATAAGTTAATTATTATTTTCTTAAGCCATATATACAATAAAGAGATATTACTTTTACTATTTATTTTTTCGCTATCTTTCTCTAAATATAATTTAGTTTAATTTTTTTTTGTATATTTAAAACGCCTAAAACTAATTGTAATTATAATAAGTTTTATTTAAATGAAAAAAACACAAAATAAATTATTATATTAATGATTAGCATTTCTCTTTCATATTATAATGTTTTTTCTATGTTATATATATATATATATAAATATAATTTATTTTTTCATTAAAATTAAAGAAAATTTTAGCTCAATTAATATAATTAAGATGCACTGGTAAATTTTAATAAATCAATATTATTATTATTATTATAATTACACATGTAAGTTATAATACAAAAATAGGACAATTTTGTAATTACATTTGCATTGAAAGTTGTTTATATCCAGATTTTTTTCACATTATCTTCAAAATCAAAATCAAAAAATCTCAATTTTACTAAATATAACTTTTTTACATAAAAAAAAATTAACAACATTTTAGTTTATTAGTGTATTTTAAATTTAGATAATTATATAAATTATATATATTGTAAATATAGTTTATTAGCAAATCTTATCGCAAATTTATTAAACTGAAAATTTAAAAAAATTTAATTGTTTCAAACAATTTATATATATATATATAATACATATCTTGTGGTTACGAAAATAATTTAAAAAACTATATTTATCATATGTTGACATCAAAAATATATATATAAATTATTTGCATTTTTCTTCAATAGTTTCTATTTTTCTGTGTTTTGACGATTGCCGCCGAAATCGGAGGAATAATCTCTTTAAGCATTTTGAAGACCAAAGTCTCAGATATTGTTGAACAGGGTTGGGATGAAGTCAACCAACGGACCAGAAATCTAGTTCAGGAACAGGTTTAGTGAAAAACAAATTAAAAATTAAAAAAAATTACGATTTTTTTAATGATATTTATATATATATATATATATATATATATATATATTTACATTTATTTTAGTAAATATCTAAATGAAATTTTAATTAATTAAAAAAAATTAATTGATTAATAAATTTCTTTAGGGATTTGTATATAATTTTTTGTTTGTTTGTTTGGTATATCTATATATATATTTTTTAGCTACAATGTTGCGGTATCACTGGTTTGGCCGAGTTTGCCAATAATACCGATCCTATCGATGAAAGCTGTTATCACATTGAATATAAAATAAACGGTACATCAGTGGACCCGAAAATACCCGAACGGGTGCCCAATAGGGTTGGTTGACATTTGTTTTTTTATAGATGTTTAACACTATCTTTAAAAAATATCTTAACAACTATATCATGTATTAACAATAATTAATTAGTTAATTAATGATTTCTTTGTTTTTTTGTTGGTTTTTAATTTGTTTTTTTATATATATATATATATAAAGATTGGTTGTAAACCTCAATTGGTTGACTGGATATTCAAACATAAAATGTATTGGATTTCATCGTTTGCCGGTTTTCTCTTATTTCAAGTATGAGTTTTTTTATACATGACTACTACTACTACTACTACTACTACAATATAAAATTTTTACTACACTTTACTAAACACTTTTAATATACAGACAACTAGTTTGGACACACTTTTCAATTAACAAACAATTTATTTTTCTATATATCTCTCTCTAATAACTATATAACAAACATATTTAAAAAAAATCCTTGAATTATTTGAGCTAAAAAAATAGTGTTTCCTATTTTGTTTTGGTTTTATTTTTGTTATCAATATTTTTTTTTGGTCTAAATTTATATATATATACCGGTATATTGTATTTTTTTCTCTCTCTCTATATGTGTATAGGTTTTCACTGTTTTATTAACCGTTTCCGCAATTAATCACTTGAAAGTCAGAAGCTCTTCAATGGAGTCCTTGGATGAACACCAGACTATAACTTATATGTAATAATTAATAATAATAATAATAATAGTAATAATAAATAGTGAAAATATTATTGTAATTATATTAGCGAAACGCAAACAAACAAAACAAAAAAAATATGTAATAATTTTCTATTTTAAAAATTTTAAATAGTTTTTTGTTGTAAAAACAATTACACGAAATTACATTAAAAAAAATGATGATAATAATAATAATAATCAAAAAACAATAATAACCAAACAAATCAAAACTCATACTCACATTATTTTTGTGCCAATATTTTTTGTTGTTGAAAAAATATATGATATATTTTTTTTAATTATTTTTTCTTATCTGTTTTTTATCAAGTTAAATTTTGTTTTTTTTATAATTATATACCATATATAATATATATATATAAATAATTATTCTTGTATCTAAATATATCATATTTTTTCAGGAGCTTATTATGTAAGCTAAAATTTTAAAAAAAACCAATTGTTTTAAAAACTATATGTAAAATAATGGCTACAATTTGAATTATTATTGTAATTTTTTTTATATAAATATATTTATCCAATCCAATTGTATAAATGTTAGCAATTAATTTTCTACATTGTATTATATACTATTTTTACAATATATATATATATATATATATATATAACTTTATGTAGTTTAAAATGTTTACATTAAAAAATATTCAAATTTTGTATATTTTTTTATAAAAATTGTAAAAGCTATAAAAAATAGTCGATAAATAAATTGATTGGTTTTGATAAAAAATAGTCTCTTTAATATATTTGTAAAAATAAGTATTATTACTAATTTTTTTAGTTAWCATATATATATATATATGGTTAGCCCTGTAAAGGATGTGGTCCGGGATGTAGTAGTGGTAGACGATAAACATCTATGAGGTGCCGAAAAAAATTGTTAAAACATGGAAAGAATATTATTAATACAAAAAATAATAGTATATTTTTTAATACTCTAATATATTAGTTAAAAACACATTGGTAACTAATATTTATTTTTTTGGTTAACATAATATAGTTAAATAATTGTTAAACTAATTTTACTAAACAATTGGTAGATATTTACTGTATATTATATATATATATATATATATATATATATATATATATATATATATATGATTCAAATGGGATGGTTATAGTAAAGTGTCAATCAAAACAATAATAGAGACACTTTCATAACAATAAAATTACCAAAATTTTATAATAAAAAAAAGTGATAATAATTTTTACGTTATCTAAATTTCTATGCTAATTGCAAAATATCATATAAAAAATAAAGTCTCTTAATGTGTTATATTAATTATAATAATAATTAAATATTATCATATTTATTTTATTTTATTTTATAACAATTACTACAATCGACTACATTATTATTGTTTTCAATTATAATATATTCATATCATTATTCAATAATAATATGAATAAATAGAGAGAGTTATGAATACACATAAATGATTTTTTTTATCGCAAACAATACAACTTATATATATATATTCAACAATTTATTTAATTAGACAATAGATTTCTCAATTATTATGACAATATTATTATTAATTAACTTTAATTTTATATATTATTATATTATATAAATTTTTAATTGGATTATAAGGAGGTATATTGTATTGTATTGTATGTGTGATTTTATATACCATAGGTGACCGCATTTTACAAATAAAAAAATTAATAATATTATACTATAGTATATAAATTATATATTAATATATAGATAAATATTGTATGAATGTATCTATTATTATTGCAATTCAATTTAATATACGGCACATGTTTTTTTTATTATTGTATATTATTGTTTTAAATAACATTCAATATTATATATATTTGATAAATATTTTTTTTAAGACAATGTATTGGAAGACAATGTTTTTACTTATATTTTTTGTTTTTGTCAAAAGGCATTATTATATATTAATATTATTAATAATATTATATAATGTCTTTTTGATTTTTTTTAACTCAAGTTTTTTTTACTTAAAATTATAAAAAACAAGTTTTAACTTAAATAATGTTTTTTGTTTTCTATGTTTGTATATTTTTTATGTGTTTAAAAGTATTTTTATAACAAAAGAGATTATAATAATAATAATAACAATAATAATATCGTAATATATATCTTATATATATATATTTATAATCTCAATTCATTAATTAATAGCAAAATGAATAGAAAAAATATATTATAATAATAGTAATCGTAATATACTGTATATATAAAAAAACAATAATAAGTGTATGTACTGTATGTGTCAAATACCAAAAAATAAATATAATTGTTTGTTTGAATTAATAGGAAAGCAAGTAATAATAATAATGAAAAGTAAAAAAAGTTTTTGATAACATTTTTTTATAGTTTAGTTTAAGATAAAAAACAAATAATACTTTATATGGAAAACAATTGATTTTTTTTGCTTGCAAATTGTTAAACAAAAATAAACACTCATAACAATTATCTTAAACAACAAATACAGTTAATTAATGTATTTATGAAAACAAAAATAGTTTTTTTAACTAAATTTTTTGTCTTTTAAACACAATATATATATATATATACTATATATATATACCGTATTTGCACAGCAAAAGTGGTGGCATTTTTTTACTATTATTATTTTAATGGCTAGAAAATAGATTGTGATCTCTGTTTTTTTTTCTCTCTCTCTAAATATTATATAATAGTAATATAAATAATAAATTATATATAAATTAACAATAATTAATGATAGATTGCTAGTCACGCATTTGAATGTATCACATAATTGGTAACACATTCATTAGGTTAATAATAATTTTATTTATAATATTATATAATAATTTTATTGTTGATATGATTATATGAGGAGATATATATTTATATATATATGTATATATATACGTATATAATTGTATAGATTATTATTATAGATTATATGAAAGCTATTTATAATTGATAAAAATTTTTCGTTTATTTTTTGTTTTTTTTATGTAGACTTGTGTTTGTTTGTTAACGATATGTAATTTATTTAAATTTTTGTTTAAAGGAAAAACTAATGAATTTGTTATTATTTTATTTTTTGAACAATTTTCTGGAAGACTTGTTATATAATTATCGATGATTTATAAATCGCTGTTATATTTGTTTTGTTTGTTTGTATTGATTTTTTTTCTCAAAATTAATTTTTAGGAAATAATTAAATATATATAATTGAAAGACAATTAATTGTTACTCATATGTTACTGTGTTTTATATGGTTTATATATATGGTTAGCCCTGTACAGGATGTGGTCCGGGATATGGTAGCGGTAGATGATAAGCATCGATGAGTGCCGAAAAACTGGTAAATATGCCAATAATGCCGCAAAAACTGCCAAAACAAATGATAAACACTTCCCAAGTGATTGTATTGAAGTCCATTGTACTCCACTTGAGTTTCATATGGAAAAGACAGGGCCAGACAAACGATAGCATAGTACCGGTAAAATTACCCACCAGTCCCATCAATATGGCAAAGTGAGGTATAGAAACTACCGGTGCAAACAAACAAACAATATTTAGTTTGGGGTTTATATAAAATAGTTTATAGATGTTAAGTAGGGACTACTTACTGGCCATAAACATAATAAACAAGACTAACAGTACGCGCAGGGCTACGGCCCAGACGCGCAACTCGTTATCTCGTGCCCAACACGTATGAAACGGTTGGACGCCTTCGCCGTCGGGTCGCTGATCGGTTGGTTTTCCGCGAAAAAATGCCGATTCCAGTAGATTGACCGCTGCATAGTACGGTAACGGATAGGACAGTAGGGCTTTGATAACCAGCGACATATTGACCACATTTTTGAAGCCCTGCGACGGCAAGTTGTTGGTTATAACCTCTTGGGTTTCGTCGCCGAAAGTCATGAATCCTACGTAAGCGAACAGTCCTTTGAAAGCTGCTGCCGCGATATGACTCCAGTCTAACATTGGCTGAAATTTTGACGGGTCACGCATACTGCCCTCCAGTCCCGGTAAAAATATCTGGGATGTATAGCTAAAAACAACGATGCCCAACATTATGGGAAATGTTTGTACGTCCAAACGGAATGTCACCTAAAAAAATATATATATATGAATATATTTATAGTAATTAAAAATTATATATTGTGTAATAGTGTTTATATATATAAGCGATAAATAATAGATAATTGATAGACACATAGACTCAAAAAAAATATATTGGAGAGGTGTGTGTGTAGGTGGGGGTGACATACCTTAGACCATTGCCAGTTGAAAATATTGATAAAACAGTAGCCAAATATTATAACATTGATTATGATATGAGTTACGGTACACCAGAAGCTATATGTTAACCATACAACAAAAGTGTTAACCAAAAAAAATAAAATAAAATATTATTAATAGTTTTCAATTATTTTTTTGCTGAAAAAAACTAATATATATATATATATATATATATATATATAATTTATATTTGTATAGGCATACCTCAAGGTCGATACAGCACCCAGGTCGGTTAGAAAAGCACACGAAAACAATAGCATTGTACAGACCATCATCCACGATCGTTGGTCAATAGTACCGTCGGGAAAGGATCCGATCAGTAGATCGCCACATAAAACCACATACAATATACAAGTCATTAGTAGTTCAATAATCTGGGCAATGTTGACCAGTTTGCCGCCGTATTTCTGGCCCAGACATTCTTCGGCAATGGCCACATAACTGTCCCGGACACGTATTTTTTCGCCCCGTTCATTGGTTTCGTACAGACAGTCGACCAATATTTTACCGGTATAGCAGCAAACATAGGCTACAAATACTAGTGCACCGACACCCCAGTAGCCGCCGTGCAGTACCGAATAGGGCAGCGATACGATAAACATACCCTTTTATTATTGTATTAAATAAATAATTTGATTATTTAAAAAAATATTTTTTTTAAGGTTAAACCTAATAAAAAAATAGATAAATAATTAGTTAATGGGTTTACTTGTATAGCATTGGTAACATTCCAGCCGGCCTGCCATTCGGATATTTTGGCCCCCGGTTTACCGCCGCCTTCAAACTCGCCGCCACCGCCGCCGCCACCGAATCCCTGCTCATTGTTGACCATACCGTTCATCTTTCCTTCGTATTCATCCATTTCGCTATATTCTCCTTCAGCGCCCATTTGGCCGTCGGGCCGGTCGAAGCTCCTGAACGATGCCATTTCATGTTCGCCGCCGCCGCGCGCCCTGATTGATATGAACTTTTTCGTTGCCCTCCCGGCACGAGTCCGGCAAATAGCTGTAGACCTTGTCGTGGACGGTATGATAGATGTCAATGAATTGTCCGAAACGTTGAGAAAAATTTTCCATTTTTTTATAAATATTTTTTTTGTTAATTTTAAATAATATTTAGTTAATTATTATTATTAGTAGTAGTGGTGTGATTATTAGGAATGTAATAATAATTAATTAATAATTAATTTTTGCTAATTATAATAACAAGCGATAAGTAGTAATAATAATTATTTTTAGTTATAAATTCAATAGATTATTGCTTTTTTTGATTGCTATTGAGTTTATTATATATATATATATATATATATATATATATAAATTTATATTTACTTAATATTTTTTTWAATTAATTATATCACAAATCATCAATAAAATTGCTTAATGGAAGACAATATTGGTTATTGATTTTGTAGTTTTAAGTAATTATATTTTTTTTTGTTTAATTAAATTTGTTTATTGAAAGACAATTAGTAGTAGTTTTCACAAATTTATAAGATATATATATATAAATTATATTATCTTATATGGAAGACATTGGAAACAATTACAATTGTAATTCAAAAATTAATATCACATTTATAAATATAGATTTCTATATATTTAAATTTATATAATTTATATATAAATTTAATTATTTTTTCTGGAAGACTTGGTTACAGTGCCATTAAATTTTATGGCACTTTTTTGTTGTTGTTTTTTTAAATAATTATTATTGAATTCACATTAAAATTGTTTAATTATTCATTTTTTTCAAATCCAGTTTTTATTTTGCTGGAAATATTTATATATTTCTATATATATTATTCACTTTTAATAAATATAAAGTTTTTAAATATAATTTTTTTCAAGTATTTATTTTGTTTGTTTTTTTATTTATGGTTTAATAAAATGAATTAAATTTTTCAATAAAATAAATTAATTTAGATTTAATTTCGGATTGAAATTCAAGCGTTGAATAGGCGTTAACTGATTGATTGTAATTTAAATTTTTCAAATTATAATTACGTTTTGAATAATTATTAAAATTATTAATAATTAAATCCACACAACAMACACATAATTCCATGTTTTTATTTATAGACAATAATAATAATAATAAATATTAGGAATTCATTATCATATTCATTGTCATCAAATCATTTCAAAAAAACATAAAATTATATAATAAAATTATTTTTAAAAAAAATTTGGTCAAACAAATTATAGATTATAGTTAATAAAATCTATTATTTATTTATTTTTTAAAAAAAGTAATAATAATAACAATAATACTGATAATAAATTTAAACAACTGATTAAGCAAATGACCATCAAATCAATTGCTTTAAGAAAACAGTGTTATATATATRTATATATATATATAGTAAAGGGATGACATATACACTGGAATTTTCGTAGGGATCAGTCATCCGGAGCGCATGTGCTGTGGATGAGAGGACAGTGCGATGAAGTATTACAATAACGTATATATAGGGATACAGTTAAATATAATACTTACCATTTAATACAGGTGTCATATTTTACAGTATATATCAATATATATATATATTATATAACATTATTGTACAATATTTTCCAATAATGGTTACTAGAGTATTAAATTTACAGTATTGATGTAATATTATTATTATTAACTATTGATTAAAATAAAAAATTTTTGAATTTTATTTTTGTTGCATAAATCTTATAAAATGTTTGTTTTTATTTGAAACAAATCAAAAAATATTGTTAATTAATATATATAATTGAAATAAAATTTTTTAACTAAAAAGTATTTTTTATTTACAATTATTTACACAAAATTTTAAAAAAAATAATTTCATTATTAAAATTTAAAGATAATGTAAGAGATAATTATCAATATTTTTTTGATGACATTAATAATATTAATTTAAAACTAATTTTCAAAAAAAAACATTTTTGCTAACTATCGACACCATTGACCTCCTGTTCCTCCAATTGCCGGATCAATCGTTTTCGTTCTTCTGCTGCCCTCATGTTTCTCAGTACAAGACTCTCGTAATCACTGCTAAAGTCTTCAGTTATTTGTTGATCATTATTATTGGTTACAAAACTAGCATTAAATACAGGCATTTGTGGTCGACTCGGAGGAACGGTATGTGAKTGATCATCAGTAGTTRGTTGCTGTCTATCGCCAATCCATTCAATAGTAAACAAGTGTTCAAATCGGAAGCGATTGTCAAACACTTTGACAGTCTGTTCGTAATCATTGAACTCAATCAGTGCTTTCTTCTGGTTTTTAGTCAAAACAAATGCATTAATTTCACCGAATTCTTGCAAACAACTCCTTAGACTGTCTTCTCTGAAGTCAAATGTCTTCGATTTTCGGCTAACCTTTAATTTTGGTAAACATTTACTTTTGGTTAACTCCAGTTCTAGTCTTTGTTTCATCTCTTCTTCGATCTGTTGTCTTAACAATTCGTTTTCAGTTTCCAATTGTTTKGATCCATCTTTTCTGAGTCTTTCGATCTCCCGTTGCAGCCGTTCCTCAGCTTCTTCTTCGCTGTACTTGTATTCTTGTGCAGCCTTTTCTCGTTCCTCGAGTTTATCCTTCATTTTTTGCCGCTTTTCGTCCAATCGTTTGTTTCGCAATACATTAGCTTTGCGTGACTTCAGTAGTCTGTCGTACGCCGACTGCAAACAAAAGAAAATCATTGGTGTTTAGGACGTGTCTGAAGATTAAATGTGTCCGTAAATATCGGTACAAACCTTTGCCGTCTCGTCGGTCAGTATTTCTAACGCTTTGGATAACCGATGGAAGCGCTCGACAGCCGCCGGATTGTCGGGATTTTTATCGGGATGACAGCTAAGAGCCAGTCGTCGATAGGCACTCTTGATCTATGGTTATAAACAAATGATTGATTACAATTAGATCCCCAATAAAAACATCTTTGAAAAGTGTGGATCAACTTTCAAATTATAATTTGAAAAGTGATGGACAAAAACAAACCTCTTGTGCGGTCGCGTCCACCGAAATGGCAAACAATTCATACAAATCAAGTTTCATGATATCGTCGTTCTTTGTCTTTTTTGTGGACATTTTTTTTGGTGGTAATAGTCTTCTTCTTCTTATTCTTCTTCAGCGATAATTTAAACTATTGATGAATAATATAATGAAAAACAAGTGAAACAAACAAAACGTTTTCGTAATAAATGTTTTTATAAATATTTAGTTTTGTTTACACTGTTTGGACAATAGATAGCGATATAGTGACTGTAGTARTARTAGTAGTGTTGGCAACGCTAGCCATTCGATACATACAATACTATCGGCAATTAGTGGACACCGAAGTTGCCGTCAATAGGATTGCCAAATGTTCAAAAGTTTTATACCAGTCAATTSAATTCAATTTATTTTATGTAAAATATAGTATAATTTTTTTTATTAAAAATAAATTTTCTATTATTTAGTCATTTTTAATTTAATWTTTGTCTTTATTTTATATTAATAATAATTTTCTTATATAATATAATTTTGTTTTYTCACTAATTTATTGTCGTTATACTACTACTACTACTACTACTACTAATTTAATAATTAATAAAAAAACTATGAAATAATTAATTTTCGATTATTTTTTTAGTTAAAATTATCAATAAATTAATGATCTTTTGAATAATTGGTGATATTTTTTATAGTGAATATATATATATATTCTCTCTCTCTCTCTCTCTCTCTCTATACTATATATATATATATATATATATATATATAGTAATTATAGCTTAGATATAAATATAGTTGTTTTTTCTGACTAATGAATTATATAAAAAAWTCATTCATTCATTGAATTATAAATTGTGAAATATTTTTATGCAAATTATTTTACATTTAGTTTTATTTTGTTGTATATATATATTATATTTCCTTCAATGGATTGCAAAATCCAAACCAAGAAAAAAATAATGTGTTTTTCAATTAAAATTGTCATTTAATTTCAAGCAGAGATTAAAATTTATAATAAAAAAAACAATTTTTGATTAATTGAAAATTATATACTCATATGATTGCATTTTCTCTATATGAACAACAATAATAAATAAAAAATATATATAATATAAAAAAAGTCCAATTGATATATAATTATTTATTTCTCCGAAAATTTTTTTTTAGTGTATTTTATTTATATTTAAATGATGCAAAAATCTTAAGTCAATTAAATGTATTTATTATTATTTTTTTTTGTTTATTTCCTAACTGTTATATAATATTAATAATGATTGTGACCTATTTTTGATAATATAATTTTCTGAGAAATTTAAATATAATTTTTTTTTAGTTTATTTATTTATTTTAATTTTCTCACAAATCGATATCACTGTTTAGCAACAACAACAAAAAATAACTTTTTATTATCATATTATTATTATTATTGTAATTTTTCTAAACGCTTTTCAATGATTATACATTTAATAATAATTTGGAAAAAAATCTAAATAAGTAAATAAATTAGGAAATGAAAAGACAATTACAACTATTTATTGAATTGATTAATATTTTATTGATTTTGAAACAAATATACGGTATATATATATATATATAAATTTATATAATTTTTCCTAAAGGGTTCACACAAAACAAATTACAGAAACAAAAAAAAATAATATTTAATAATAATATGTTATTTAATAATAATTATCATCTGTTTTGTTATAAATTTATTTGTTTTTTTCAAATATGATATAAGATATCAATTAATTTCAATCAAAGTTGTTTTCAATATAAAAAAAACTATTTTTGAATTATTATTATTGTTGTTGTAGTTGTTGTGTATCATTGCTTTTGTTTGATTATATTATATTAATATTGTATATATAATTTAAAAACTTATTTATCATTCAAAAAAAATTGTTTTCTCAAATTATAATCTAATTTAATTTTTAAAAATCTTTTAATAATATCTAGATTTTTTGTTTTTTATGATAGTTTTGTTTTGTGCCCACAATTTGATCAACTGATTAAAACAATCAGAAAATAATTTATAGATTCAGTTTAAAATTATTTTTTTTATTTTATTTTATTTTTCAAAAAAAAACATCAAAAAACATTCACAAATATTGCCATTTGTTTGTTTGTCTCAGAGAAATACATATCATTTTTATTAAATACAAAAATGATTTTTTTATTAATAGTTTGTTTTTGTTTTAAAACTAATTTATATCAATGAGTTGTGTTTATGTGTTATATATATATATATATATATATATATTTAATTTATATATAATGTCTAATGATTTGATGATTTATTTGCTATTATTATTATTAATTATTATTATGTAGTAATAATAATAATAATATTTGGGTAGTATTTTTTTATGCACAAAATTTATTTGTGTTTTATTTATAATACAATTTATTTTTTGAACACTGAATTTTTTTTAAATATATTTTCTATTTATTTTAATACAATTATAATTTATTCATAATAATAATAATAATAATTAAATTAAACTGAGCGCTCCTTTTTTAATTAATAATATAAATTTTTTTCTTATAATAATTATTATAATTAATTAATTTAAAAAAAATATTTGCATTCAATGTGTTCGCATATAATCTCTTGGATATCAGTCCTTTCACTACAATTAAAAAATTAAAAGTAGATTTTTTTCATATAAAAAAAGACTAAAAATAACAAAACAAAAAAAATCTTAATAAATATTAAGCTATCAGCAAAAAAAAATAATCTCAAATAATATATAAATAATAATCAAACAATAACATTTCATTACATATTCAATTGATAATATTTAACCAAAAAAAAATAATTATTAAAAAATAAAATTAAAAAAAAATCTCAATAAATTCCAAAAAGCACCGCGATTATATTAATAAAAAGTTATAATAATAATTAACAATAATAATAATGATAATAGTTAGTGATTATTATTATTTAACCAAAATCATCATCATCATCATCATTACAATTATCTGTACATTAAAATGCTTGATTTGTTTTATGTTTTGTTTTGTTTTAAAAGTTATCAAATAATAGGGGGGAGGAGGGGAAAACAAAATTAAGGAGCAATACAATTATACAATATATATTATATATAAGCGAAACACAACAACATATACAGGGTATGTATGTATGTAATAATCAATTGCATTTATAATTGAAATTTTTCAAACTAAAAAAATCATCAATAATAATAATCATTATAATTATAATAAAAAAAAATAATATTAATAATAATTGCTAATATTTTTTGTTTCAATCAAAATGCATGTCGTATTTTGTATATCAGATTGTAGATAACAAACAAACAAATAATTATTTTTTATATTTATATATATATAAAGGAAAAAAACTTTAAAAATTATAAATACAACAAAATTAAAATTATATTTAGCGAACATATATTTGGAGATATATTTATTTGGCCACAAAGGGAACGGCAGCTTATTTTTGTTTTGTTTTTATGTCAAACATTATTATTATCATATCATATAATTTTTGTTTGTTATGTATAATGTTTGTGTGTGTGTGTGTGTGTATGTGTGTTATGTATTGATTTATTTATACAATTATCTCATAATTATTATATTTTTTATACAATAAAAATTTTGTTTCGAAATATGTGATATTATTTTATTTAATTTTTGTTTTTAAATATATGCAAAAAAGCTTTGGTTTTGTTTTATTTTATAATGTTAACAATATATTTATGCTATAATAATAATAATTCAATTAATAATATGTTAAGGGGTTTTGGCCAACAAAAAAAGAGTGTATTTATAATATAATAATAATATATTTATTTATATAATATTTTGACAAAAGTGTTGACTTAATAATATTTAAATCAAACACATGTCGTCAACAATTATTATAATAATGTAAATAATAATTATAATAATAATAAACATAAAATTTATTTAATAATTATATTTATAATATTTATAATAATAATATAATAATATTTATATGGTGTATGTGTAGTATTGCCTAAAAATTATCAATAATAATAATAATATTATTATTATTATCAATTATAATAATAAATGTATGGATGTGATGTATTTTGGTGGCACAGGTATGTCAAAAAAAAAAGAAATACAGTTAATAATAATTGTTCAAATTTGTTGATGCGATTTTGATGTGATGAGAGTTTAGATGGTTGTGCACACACATAGTCACACATACACACACGCGACGGGTTTGTTTGTTTGTTTTTATAGGTGATGTGTAGATGATTCACATACAGGTCCAGAGAGATATATATATATATATAGATATATTTAAGTTATATATATATTTATATAGATTGAAGGGTCGGTTAGATTATTAATAATATAATAATAGTAAAAATGTGGTCTACTTTTTGTTGACTAAATCGATCTCCTTTTTGGTCTCGATCTGAGCAGAGGTTGCATTGGGCATATGAGCACCAGTAGCCGTTTGATAAGTACTTAATTGCTTTTCGAGGTATTTGAGCGATTCGGTCATAAAATTCTGGACTGACGTAAGTGCTGCTACTATGGCTGGACTACCGAAGCCGTGTGTGATGAGTGAAAAATGTGTCAAATTTCGCTGAATGTTTGGCTCGAGTATTGTCTGGGGCCGGGTATTACATAGTGGCGACCGGTCCTGGTTTAGCAAATCGATGAACTCCTTCAACAATTGCCTAATTTTTTATATATATAAAAAAAGATGAAATGGTTACAAAAAATTAATTATTGTTTTTTTTATAGATATATGTGTCAAATAAAAAAAATATTAAAGTAGAGGTCATTTGTCATATTATCTAAATATTTATTAATTTATATGTGGAAATGCATTATAAGTCTATAGTTATATGAAAATTAGTTTTTTTTTATTTAATTTAATTTATTTTTGAAAAAAATCATTACTCCTCCCAATTGGAAAAATCAAAAGACATTCAAATAATATAACAATAATTGATTGCTTTATATATATATATGAGTTAATCGATAATATTGTATATAAGTTGCGTTAAACTATCAAAAAAAATCTCTCTCTAGTCGTTAAAAGCCTTTTTAAAAATGCAATCTAATTGTCATTAAAAAAATATTTAAAAAATAAAATATATTTTTTAAAATGCATATATATGTCTGCTTCAATTAATTTAAATTTCGATAATTTCTATAAATATTATTAACAAAAAATAAATAATTTTTTACACTAGACTTTCCAACTTAACATACTTAGATATAGAAATTAAATAATAATAATAAATTCAATTAGTTTTCAAAAAAAAAACTAATCTAAAATTGATTATTTATAAATACATTTAAATTATATTATATATAATTTTTATTTTTTAAAAAAATGTTTGTTAAAGACAAAAGTGATCTCAATTTTCTGCATTTAAAAAATAATTATTTTTATCATCAATTATTGGCGCAGAAAAAAATATATTATAAATAAAATCAAATCCGTGTTTTTCCAACATAAATATAATTAATATAAATAAAAGTTTATTTAGTGTATTAATTTAATATAGTTTTAAAAAAAATATTAGAGAAATTTTGACGATAAATTAAATATTTTTAAATAATCACACACACATTAATATATTAAAAATATTGAATATTCATGACATAACTTTTTAATTTTAAATAAATATATAAATAAACGATAAATAAACAAATAAATAACTGCCATAAAAATAAATCAGTAAATAATTATGCCATCAAATTAGGGGGGAATAAGAGTCGTGAATCTGATTTTTTTTTTAAATTTTAGTTTTATTTGTTTGGTTTTTAAAAAAATAAAAAGTATTTTAAATATTATTAATAAATTTGAGACAAACAAACAAAAAAACTGTGAGAACTTTATATCTGATTCAATTTGGTTTTGTATATCAATGACAACTATTTAATAAAAAAAATATATAGTATTTATATATTTTTTTTATAATCACTAAAACATGATCATATTTAACAACAAAAAAATTATTAAAAAACCCTATAAAATATGTGACAATTTTGAAATACATTAGTAGTCTAATCAAACAAACAAATAAAAATCATTAGCAAATTAAGTTTGGGTGACCCATAACAACACAATGGATAGGTAGGTGTATATATATATAGATTTAATTAAAAACGGATGACTTACTTAGTGGCCAACACCAGCTCTTTTCGTCGGTACATATCCGATGGATCCGAGTGGTTACGGCACAGGTATTCGGCAATTTGTCGGGCGGGAAACTCTGTCTCGCATACGTACCCGAAATCGCGGGCTAAATGTATTGCTTCACCTAAAAATTGTATTGAAAAAAACAAACAAAAAAATTATTAATAAAAAAATTTTTAAAATCAATTCATCAAACAAATTAATAAATGTATTTTTAAGAATGTACTCAAATTTCTAAGCAATAAAATAATTTGTGTGTAATTTATTTTGTTTTTTTTTGGTTGAAAAAAAAGATATATTTTATATATAATATTAAAATATCTCTAAAAAAAATATTGTCAAATAATGTAAAAATAAATGCCTTCACATCTCTCTCTCTCTCTCTCTATACGAGGCCAACGATCCGGTGTTCAAAAGCTATTAATTATAGTTATAAAGAGCTCTTTAAATACTGAGAGAGAGAGAGAGAGAGAGAGAGAGAGAGAGAGAGAGAGAGAGAGAGAGAGAGAGAGAGAGAGAGAGGGGGGGGAGAGAGGGAGGGAGAGAGAGAGAGAGAGAGAGAGAGAGAGAGAGAGAGAGAGAGAGAGAGAGAGAGAGAGAGAGAGAGGGGGGGGGGGGGGGGGGGGGGGGCTTACACTAACTAACAAGTCTGTAGAGTCTATTAGTATTTATAAAATATAAAATACCCGTCCATCGATAGCAGTGCCATAAGTTAATATATCTTAAGGGCACTAACCCCTCGGCATACATCCCATTATATAATATGATGCCTATTGACGGCCAGATATATAGACAATGTTTTTTTGTTGTTGTTGATGGCATTACATTGATTTCATATACAACAACAAAAAACAAATGTCTAAACACTATTTTATCAGTTTAATAATCAAATGTGTAAATTGTTTTATAATAGACTATTTATTTCGTGTAATTGTTGTTACAAATGAATATATCAATGTATAACACACAACACAAAAATGTGATTTTTGCTAAATACTTATTTGTAATTTTGTTAAATTTATAATGTTAAATAAATTTGAATTATCCCAATAACTATTAATATAAATGCAGTTATTTTAATAATTATAGTTTTTATAAATAATATCATCTAGATTTTCAATCTAAGCTAGGTCATCATCATCATCATTTCATAAAACAATTCAACACATAATAATAATAACAATAAAATTATTATTATTATTAATTATATAATCTATTTTATAACCACATATTAACACATGATTTGATTAAATAAAGAGAAAAACAGAGATAAAAGTCAGTATTTAATGTATAATAAAAATAAATAAATAAAATTTTTATATATAAATGTATAGTTAGTTAATAAACAGCAGTTATATAATTGTTGTTAGGAATTTGCACATGTATTTTTTCTATCTCTCTCTCTCTCTCAAGTGTAGCTACCGGTGCCACCGATCATCCTTTTTTTAAATACATAACTAATGGCTATAATTTATGCCAGAAAGAGAGAGATTTATTTGAATATGTAATTAGCATAACAGTGCCACAAACTTATTTAGTATAAGCCATACATATATCTACATAAGCGATGACGGGCCGGTAAACATCAAAAAAAAAGTTCATTTAATCTCTCTCTCTCTCTAAGATAGTCACTATTTATAGATAATTAAAATAATACACACAAACACACACACACTACCTGTCCCCTTTATTAATAAAATTTATTAAAAAATATATATATATATATTTAATTTCTCAAATTCTTTCACAGAGTAGTCTATCATATATATAWAAAAAACTAAAAGTTCATTACATTGGCTAATAGTTATGTAATACATTTAATGCAAACAAAATAGTTGTTACACTTGTCTAAAAAGTTATTTTTTTTGAAAAATAATAATTATTGCAATATATTTCATTTTTTTGGAGGGGGGAAAATATTGTTATTAATAATTTTCATATCATATCACATATATGTAGTGAATGGGTGGCCTCACTAAATGGGAGGGCAACTCTAGGAGACTGCTTTTTTCTTTTTTAAAAAAAATAAAGGAGTTATAGATTTTATTTTATAAATCTCTTTTTTTAACACACAAAAAATGCATCATTTGATTACCAAAAATAAACTTTTAAAATCTTATTATATATAGTATCTCCTAAACAGTGAAAGCCTGTTGTGTTGATCACACACACACACACACACACACACACACACACACACACACACACACACACACACAAAATACTTATAACCAAAAAAAGCTATTAATTATACATTTTTGGCACTTTAWATGAAAAGGTAGGTTCAGTCACTACTTGTTCCCTCTCTCTCCCTATCTATATCTATCCTCTCCATCCTCAGTAGTGGTGGTGTATATCTTTTGTAAATTGATTTTCAACAAACAAGAAAATCATAATTCAAATATGGATATTAAATATTACTGGTGTGTGTGTGTGTGTGTGCAAGTGTTAGGTGTAAATGTTTTTTTTTTAAAAAATAAGAAAAAAGATAACAAAATGTTTGTTAGCTTAAGATAGTAGTCATTGATAACTACGGTAATAATAATAATAATATCCATCAGAGAGAGAGATACACAGTATTAATGATTATTTTTAATGTATATATGAAGAGGACATGACATGCCTTCAACTAAAGATGTTAATAGTGTAACGTTGGCTGCTTTCCGACGACCGGCCGGCAGATTGAGTCCAATCTTTTCCAACTTTTCCCTTAAGGATCGGCCGCCGTTCTTGGATTTGGCTCTAAATATATAATAATAATAAACAATTATTAATAAAAAAAATAACAAATAAATAATGTTTTCATTATATTATATATTAAGTGTGTAGAGATAGAAAAAAAAACAATTAACCGCAAAAAATTGCAATATTTACAGAACTAAAAAATAAAATAATATTTAACTATAAATCTGATAAATATATAAACAGTAAATCATAACAATCGGTAAACAGTTAAAAGCGATGGCAATCTCTCTCTCTCACTATTTGAGCAAAYAATTTATAAACATTTTGTTTTATTTGGGAGATAAACATAATAATAATAATAACAAAATACAAGATAAAAAAAAGAGTTGGAAGTCATTGAAGCCATAGAGTTATATATATATATAATAAAACAAATTAAATATTAAATAAATGGTTATTTGAAGTCGTGATCAGCTTCGGGGCACTGGAAGCTAACTAAACACAATACCCCTTATGTGATGTTATGCTATGSTATGATCTCTCTCTCTCTCTCTCTCTCTCTCTCTCTCTCTCTATTTGATGGTGTAATAGGACGGCTGATAGTAAACTTAAAAAATAAAATAAAAATAATCGCTAATTATATGACTGCAAACTATTTGATCAATTATTACAATTAGTTATCCCTGTATAATACGGTAATAATAATAATAATATGAATAAAAAATAAATCAGTGAATGACTTTAATGTGAAAATTATATTAGCGGTAATTTGGATAAATAAAAAAAAATAAAAACTAATTAAACCGATTTATGAATTAAAATAAATAATGAACAAAAAACAATCATTTTTTTCGGTAAATCACTAGATTAATGGTCAGAAACATATGCCGAGTGACACATACATCGAGTGTCATARTTATATACACCCGAAAACTAATACTATTATTATTATTATCATCATCTGCGGGGGTCAATACCTGCGTAGGACGCCTCCCAATAGCGAGGCGTTTAGACATTCGGGCGGCGATAGTCGTCTCTGGACTTCACCGACGGTCACTTTGTACTTGGAGGTCGAACTGAGCAATGATAGTCGTCCCGGTACTGAACAAAACACGTCGGTCGGTGAGGTCACTCCCGTAATGACCATCTCTTTGTGATTATCACTATTGCGTGGCTTTATACCTATTTAGTTGAAAACATATAAACATTAATATGGATGGGTATGGGATCTAATTCATTCAAATAAAAAAAACAAAACCATACCATTCATKATACCCTTGCGGATGACACTGTTGTGGTCGCCAGAGAACAGTTGTGACGGGTCGTCAATGCCTCCGCCCTATTCATAGATAATAATAATAATAATTATAATAAATGTCAATAAAAAAGTGGATCAATTAATATGATATATGAGAAAAATTGGTCTAAATTGGTATAATTTAATGAAATCAATGGTAAGCTATTGGTTTGTCTGTTTGTTTCGGTCATCAAAATCAAATGTATTGGTAGATGATGTCATATATATATATATATATGACTCYCCAAGACATTCAATTAAGTCAATCAAATGATCAGACCTTTTGTTTGTCGCGTCTTTTGGCATCACTTTTGTTGTTATTATTATTATTAATATTATTAATAATTTTATTATTATTATCATTATTATTGCAATCACTATAATCTCTGTAATCGCTATCGTATTCGCGTTTAACTAATTTCAATGGCCTTTCCTGGCATTCAAACCCGTAGGCCTTAACATCGGCGGTACGTTTGCGGCCAAAAGCCATTGAACACATCGGAGAGTGTATGATATATATAAAAAAGGAAAGGTATGATATATGACTCGGGAATTAATATGACTATTAAACGGTAGTAATGGACGGTCAATCACTGGCCATTATTATCATCATCATCGGTGGTAATGAGAAAGAGAGAGAGAGATCACTGGGGGTTTGGTCACCGATAGACTTGTGACTGGATGTCTGACTACCGCCACAATACCTGAACGGTTGGCGACGACTGGATAGTATGACTAATTCAATGATAAATACAACAAAACAATATGACTATCATATACAGTATGTTTGGATCAATTGGATCCGATCATCACAGATATGTTCATATATTAAATCATATCATATATATGAGACAATTGATTATTATTTGTGTGATTCATATAACCATTAACTATACATAACATACAAATAGTATTAGTAATACTGTGTATATAACACACAATACGGTGTATTATACAAAAATAGTGTACTTAAAGCTCATGTATAGCCTTAGGCCGACAGCTGGCAATGCATTGGCATTACATTTATATAGTATTGTACAGTAATAGTAGTAGTAGTAGTAGTATCAGCCATACATACAGTACAGTCATGTAATAGACAGAGAGAGAGAGAGAGAGAGAGAGAGAGAGAGAGAGAGAGAGAGAGAGTCATATACCCAGACATTGGGAAAGGGAGATAGAGGAGAGAGAGAGAGTGGAGACGTATAGCAAAAAGGCAATAACACTGTGTTGTCAATGTATGCCGTTTTTTTGCTTGCTGTGTGTGTCCATATACAGATAGTACAGTACAGYACCACACACAGTCATACCATTTTGCATACCGTTCCCTACTACTATTTATCCTATGTATTGTTGTGTATGTATGGTATGGTATTAATAGCACACATTGATGTTTTTTTTGTACTCTACACTGTATTACTGTAAATGTTATGTGTATTAAATGTATTTATATTAATGTGTGTTAACAACGCCTTTATTTTTCAATGCACATCATTTAGGTGCAGACATACAGTAGTGTATATCAATGAGTGAAAAAAAAATTATTATTATTTAAATAATTAGTTTTATTTCGGATATAATTTTTTTTATTAAAAAAAATTATAGCAATAATATTATCATAAGTTTGGAAAAGTTTTTTTTGTGTTTAGTTTAATAGTAATAATATTTGTTTTTAATTATATTAAAAACTTATTTTTCGTTTAACTGAATATTCTTTAAATATTTTCACATAAATTATTTAATAATAATAATATTCTGTATATAATACTCTCGTTACCAGTTTAGTGTGATTATGCGATAATATATAAATTTTTATTTTTTTTATTATAATAAATTAAACACTTGTATCAAATTATTCATTATAATAGTTGTTCAATAATAAGTAAATAGATTGTTTGGATAAAAATTGTTTATATACCATGTTATGTATATATAACTGATAATTAAATTTATTTTAAATCATTTTTATTACAAAATAAATATAATATCGCAATATATAATCACTTATAATATATATATATATATACTGTATATATTATATTTATAGAGAAATAAAATAAATAAAAACTTTATTTCAATGAACCGATAGATTGTTTGCTTAATAATAACTTTTGATTTACTTTAAAAAAGTTTGCTAAGCAAACATATTCAGAGAAAATAAAAATATTGATAGTTATTAATATAAAAAAAATATTTATATATATATATATCTACTTATGTTTGATAATATAAAAGATAAAAATAATTTTTAATAACTATAATAAGTTATTTATTCCCCCTCCCCCCCCAAATATGCCAACAATTTAATAATTTAATAATGCATTATATTTTATAATAATAATAATAAATATATTGTAGCTACTGTATAATAAATTAAAAAATAATTATAAAAATTTGTTAAATTTGAATAATAAGATAATTTATTTTATTTTCTAAAGTAACAAACATTATTAAAATTATTATTATGAGTCAATATAATAAATATTGATAAAACAAAAATAATAATAATATTGAATGACATGAGAAATCAAGATTAATATCAATAATACTGAATCATTTGGTTAGTTATGTAAATCATTAGCAAAAATATTTTTTCTGTTTTTGAAAAATATTTATAATAAACCTTTTTATTTATTTATTTATGTTTCCACTGTATATAAAAAACATATACTATAAATATATGARGCAATCATTAAAATAATTATATTTATAAAAAAAAGTCAAGTCAAGTCACAAAAATCTTTAATTCAAAATAGCTATGATGTGACGCTCACGGGTTATAATATATATATATTATAAAGTTTGTATATACAGTACTGGGAAAAATGATAATTATAAGATAATTGTGAAACAAATAGTTTTTTATTATTTTGCTGTATATTTAAATATATATAYAATATATATATATATTAGAAACCACAAATCTAGAGTGAAATGTTATTTTATTATTATTAAAGTAATTTTTTTTATATAATATTATTTTGTATATCTAAATAAATGATCGATTATTAATGTATTCAGACATTGACTGCAAGCCATTACACTTACTAAATGTGATTATATTTTTAATATATATAAAAGTGATGACTGAGTTATACAGTATTATAATATATTAATGATWGCAACAAAYAAATGTGTGTTTGTTTAACTATTTACAGTATTATTATTATATTATACAGTAATAATAATCGACAAAACCTAAAGCATTAAAAAATTATGTCATTTATAAATTATAATATAAATRTATATATATACACTGWATATACAGTAAACTATCTAATAGTTATGATATATTTATATTTAATGGCAATGACATCAAAAAAATAAATAAATTGTAATTCAATTAGATTATGTGTTGACTTGAATTACATTGCAAACATCAATAATACAGTAATTATATCTCTATCTCTCTTTTATTGTATAATTTTTTTTTATTAAAATGGATATCCCTTTAAGTCCTTAAATCATTACTGTGTTTTCTTTGGTATTTATATCATTCACCGGTAATATTAAATTTATCTTTGAAATTACAAATTATAGTTGTAATTCATTAATACTATTACTGAGAAACCACTTGAAGCCAAATGCAATCAATTTAAACACTCGGAGAGAGAATATCTACTATAGATTTATTTATTTTATTTATATATATATATATATATCACAACATATTTATCAAAATTATTTATTTTTGCCAAAAACAACAAAACTTATRATACACTACTACTACTACTATTATTTACTACTCATTTGAAAAGTATATTTATTCAAACATGAAAAACAATTAACATATCATCAAATGATAAAACAATATAATTAATGACTTTATGTTATTTATCATTATTAGAATTATTTCATTTATCAAAGTGTGTAATCCTTTGATTTTTTAAAAAAATATAATATATTATAATAAAAAAATAATTGTTTGAAATTATCAAAAAATAATAATAATCAGGATATCTATTATATATATATAAATTTATACAATCAAATCAAAATCTCCAATCGATTGCCTTATAGGAAAAATTAATGATTAAATTTGTTTGAGAAAATAAAAATTATTAGACAAATGTAATCATTTTGTTGTTGTTGTTATTATTGGTTATCATCTAAACCATTGGTTATCATAATTAAATTCATATATATTTTTTAGTGTGTGTGTGTGTGTGTGTGCAGTAGTTAAGGTTATGATAATAAAGTTTGCATGAATTGAATCAGTTATTATTATTATAATTATTTATAAATAAAAACCAAATAAATTTCTGTATAAATAATAAGCCAATAATAATATGTGAACATAACATAGCATAACCATCTCATTGAATATTCTGTATAAACATTTAAAAAAAAAATCATTACAATTATTATCGCCAATAATCTAAATAAATACATTAGTAATTAACTACTTATTTATTTTATTTATCAGTAGTTAATTTTACTTGAAAGAAAATTATAAAAAAAGATAAAAAATAAATAAATAGTTAACTTCATTGATGAATACACACACATATATATATGAGAAACTATAAATATATATATATATATATATCATATGTACAGTATATGCAATATATTTTCAATTTTGCGATAGAAGATAACTGTGTTGTGATATTTTTTTTAGGAAAAAAAGTGTAGAAATCATTTAGTATTTAATTTTTACACTCAAAATAAAAAATCTTTTTGGACATTGCTTTTGATTTTTATCGCAATTAAGCTAAAAGATTGAAAGACAGAGAGAGAGAGAGAGAGAGAGAAATTAGGAAGAGATGACTGCCTGGCCTTAAGGCAATGGCTTTTCAAAATATATTAGCTGTAAATTATAATAAATTATTTAATAGCTCTAAGAATTTCTATCCACTATTTTATTTTGGAGAGAAAAAAACTTTTTTTTATAAATATATAAAAATTTATTTTAAAAGACATATATTATACATACCTGTGTGTAGACAATAAATAACAGTATACCGAAACAAATAACAACAGCAACAAAAAAAATGGTGCAATCATTTTACGACAATATCATAATTTAGAAATCTTTTTAGTAT